ATTATTAGCGAATTGCTGTGTTATGTCTGTCATCGTTTAGGCCTATTTGAAGTTTTGGACGGAACTTGGCTCAGTGATTTGGAACTAATTACCAGATAACCGCCGCTATTCTGACTAAGATTCTGACAGTTTATATCCATAGTTATTAATGTTAGTGAATGATTAATCAAAAGATATGACGTATTCAGTGCTTAGTGTGATTGGCTTTATGATTGAAGGTTACGCCCTAGAGTCTTTTACTGTTTTGTAATTGGTAGAGTTTTGAAAATGAATAAAGAGAGTTTTGAGTTGGTCTTGGGGAGGACTCCACGATAGACGAGTCGAGTCCGGTCCTGGAGAGCCTTGGGGCGAGTGTTGACGCAGTCTAAAAGAGTCTTGGGTCAGCCTTGCGATAGTCTTGGGGATTTTTTCCCCAGGGCGCTGTGACTTATAGAGTGCTCGATTGACCGACTAAGACGAGAGCTGAAACGTATTCCGTTGTGTGTGTCTTATTTGACTGTAAAGTTAAAGTGACTTTCCCGATCCCGTACCTCAAGGGGACGAGATAGAGAGACAAGACGAGATTTCCCCCTGACAAGTGTGGAGAACCCCGAGAGTACAAGATTTTCCCCCGTGATAATACCATCAATCAAATAAAGGCTAACCATAATCTGATTATTGAAGCCAAAATCTTGAGGTTTCAGTATAACAGCTAATCAATATATGGTCTTAAAATAATGAATGTAATATAGTTATTGGTGGTTGACGATTTCATTTATATTTCTTGAATGTGATAGTGCGGTTTTTCTGACCCATGACCCCACTGATTTTATTGTTGATGTAACCTAAACTATTTTATGGCGTGGTAACAATAATATTGGGGTATGTCATGGGGCATCTGTATTGTAATATGACAGAACCCCGCACCCTCCTCGTGGCTTTCGTTGCGTAACATGGAAGTTATTTTCAGAATACACCGCATCTCGAGTGAAAATAACTCCCATACGGGTGTGGGGTTCTGTTATTATTACATATGTTCCATATTTGATTATTTCATATTTAAGAAAGAACGTGCAACAAGCCAGGATGGAATTTAGATCGGGAACCCCATTGCCCATTAATATGTTCCAAGATAGTGTTACGCCCTAGCAACGCGTGTCAGTATAAGAACGCGTGTCACTGTCTGTGTGAAAATAAAATAATCAGATGTCTAATTTGAGTCACTGTCCGAATAAATAACTCGTGGACAGAACTATAATTTGAACGAGACGACTATGATACACAGTTTATGTTGAAGTTAAAAGTTCCACCACATAATTAATTGGCAAACATGCCGTGCAAATAAGGTACTCAACTGACGGGATGCCGAGTCGACAGCGGTCGTCGCTGAGCTGAACGTAGACTGGCG